CTGATGATGGCTTGGAGCAGGGTGGTAGCAGTAGATAGGTAGATAGGGTAGGCAGTGGATGGATTGGACTGGAGAGGTGTCTGGAGGGAAAGCCAGCAGGACCTGCTGATGAGAGGCAAGGGTGATGCTCCCAGGTTAAACCAGCCCTGTTTTTTGGCCACTTCCTCTCAGCCCTGGGGTTCAGTGGGGGGTAGGGAGTAGGGAGACATGATGACATGAAAATTTTCCCTAGCCCCAGGTAAAGCTCTGGACTCAGAATCCTTCTGTCCTTCCCCTAGGTCATCAGGCCACAGCACTCTCTGCTTTTCCTCCTGCCTACCTCGTGGGCCACACAGTTTCAGTCTTCTTTGCCAGTTCTCCCTCTTCACCTGACCTCTAAATGTTTGGAGCACGTGGAGGCTTGGCTGGCTCCTCTCCTCCATCTGTGCTCACTCCCTAAGGAATCCATCCTGTCTCCTGGCTTCGAAAATCATCTGTGTGCTGAACACTCCTGGATTGCTATCTTCACACTAGACTTCTCCCCTGAATTCCAGACTTACACACAATTGCCTACTCATCTCCTCTTGAATATGTATGTGGTCATCTCATATGTAACATGTGCAAAACCGAACTCCTACCCTTCCCCTCTAAATCTGCCCATCCCGGAATCTCCCCCATCTCAGTGAATGACACCTCCATCTTTTTTGTTGCTCAAGCCAGAAACCATGGAAACTCCTAGACTCCTTTCTTTCTACACAAGCCACATCCAAATCCATCAGCAAATCCTGTCATCTCTACTTGCAAAAAATGTCCAAAACCCTACTCTCTCCTCACCATCTTCCATTCACTATCTTTCACCTGATTATTGCGGTTACTTCATAACTGCTCTCCCTTGCCCTGCTACCTTGTAGTCGCAACACAGCAGCCAAAGCAACCTTAGGAAGACTTAATTCAGATCATGTCACTCTACTGCTGAAAACCCTCAGCGAAATTAGCTCTGCGTGGTGGCCCATGCCTGTAATCCCAGCTACTTGGGAGGCTGAGGCAGGAGAATCGCATGAACCCAGGAGGCAGAGGTTGCAGTGAGCTGAGATCACACCATTGCACTCCAGCCTGGGTGACAGAGGGAGACTCTGTTTAAAAAAAAAAAAAAAAAACCCTCAGTGGTTTGCTGTCCGAGTCCAAACTGAAGTCTTTTCGACGGTCCCACATGATCTGCCCTTCGCCAGGTCTCTGCACCCCTTCTGTCTCTGTGACTTCACCTCAGTTTCTGTCATTCTCTACTACCCCCAACTCCCAACTGCACACCCCCAAGACCCTCCCTTAGCTGTGCTGCAGCCTTGGTGGCTTGCTTCCTGTCCCCCTAATGCAGTGTGCCTTTGCAGTGGCTGCGCCCTCCCCCTGGATCGTCCTCCCCCTGGATCGTCCTCCCCCTGGATCGTCCTCCCCCAGGTATAGGAATGCCTTACCCTGATGGAGTGTGCTCAGACCCAAAGTTATCCACAGGCCTTCCTGACAACCTTGCTTAAAATTGCCACCACCTTTCACACTCATCCTCTTCTCTGGAATATTGAGATGACTGAATGTCAGAGGCTGGAAACAGGAAAGAATCCAAGAAGGTGGTTTTTGAATCTGGGTTGGTCTCTGTGGTGGTTGTCACTGTCTGATGTGTCCTCCCCCACTAGAATATGGGCTCCAGAGTAACAGGCATTTTTGTCTCTCATTTTCTGTTCTGTCCCCTCACCCAGAACAGAGCCTGGCACATGCTAGGCACTCAGTCAAGATTTACTGAATGAATGAATGGAATTAGGGAAAGACCTGCAGCCCTCAGGAGGCAGCTTGGATCTGGGAGGGAGACCTGATTTCTAGGACAGCACCAGCTTTGACCCCAGCCATGGGTCGTCTGGGCTGCAGTTGTCATCTGTGGAGGGTGGGGAAGTCCCGAGGCCCTTTGTAGCAGCAACATTCTAGAATGATGCTTGACTCTGGCCTCACCTGCTTCCTTTTGGCTGAGGGAGGAAGGGAGGGGTAGAGGTAGGACCTGGTGCTGTGGAAAGAGAGAGCTCTTGCTCATTCTTTCTAGTCAAGACCCAAGTGGACTTTTTACTGGCCTTGAAAGGAAAGGCATTTCTGGTTCGTACCTGGCAGGAGTCTGGGAGCCCTGGGTGAGGGAGGAATGAGCCAGGGGGTGCAGCCCCAGCTGCTGAGTGGGGACAAATAGAGGCCTGGCCACTGGGCCTGGGTTCCTCCTCATGGAGACCGTCCTTCTGGGGCGTTATGGGGAGGGAGAAGGAGGATAATTGAGGTGAGTAGTGGGGAGAGGGAAGGCTGGAAAGGGCCTAGTGTGTGGATCAGCTGGGCTCACACGCAGGCCCTCAGTGGGTGTGCGTGGTCAAGCCTTGAAGCAGCCCTCAGCCTGCCCGTGGGCCCTCGCAGCCAGCACCAACTCCGGACTGAGTGGCAGGGGGCCTTTTGGTTGAGAGAAGCCCAGTCCTCCTCCCTTTTCTGGGTCTTGCAACAGTTCCCTGCTTGTTTTCCCCGAAATAAATGGGCTGAGCATATTGGGCCGGCAATAACCCCTTGAAATCAGTTGTTATCACAGTTAACAACCAGTTTGGCTTCAGTTCAGGCTGTTAACTATCAAACCACTAAGTGCCGGTAATGATTGATTCTTGGCCAGTTGCAGCTTGAGTGGGCTGTAAAACCCCATTAGTGAGGGCTCTGTGGAGGCAGCGGCTCAAAGATAAACAAGTTGATGGGTGCTCTAGCCTGGCCTAGCCCCAGTGCTCTGGGCGCAGCTCCCATGGGTCCCTGGCCTGGAGTTCTACCGGGAGTCAACCTCTTCCCAAAGCCACAGACAACCTCAAGGACCAGGTCCCAGGTCCCACCCTCCTGTCCCCCTCCACATCCCCTTTCCCCATCCAGGTGTCTCTTTCTAGAAGTCAGGTCTGGCTCTCTGCAAAGCTCCCCTCTTCTTCCATGATGTAAACATGGCACAATCCCATTGTCACCACCTTGGAGGACTCAGGCCTCCCCAGCCTGGGGGCTTGAGGATTAGCTTTGGCCAGGGCCAGCCTTGGCCCAGCCTGGCCCCACGTTGTGGCCAGGATCACAGGCGGAGAGCCTAACATTCCACCCCCACCAGACTCCCTCCTACCCAGTGCCTTCCCCCAGGAATTGCTCTCAAACAAATGAAATGCGGGTAATTACTGGGCTAGGGGCTGGACAGGAGACCGTGCAGATGAAAGCGTTTCCTGGACGGTCCCTTCATTTGCATGGCATCAGAAGCTGCTCAGAAGGTGTGACTTTTCCCACAGTGAGACCCCAGCTCCTTGCACAATAAAGCCAGGCTGCTCACCCAGAATTAATTAAAGGGGGAAGGGAGCAGAGGAGGAGGCGCTAAGAGTCGGGGGAACTGGAAGAGAGACATCTAGGGCCCCTTCACCACATCCAGTGTCTTCGCACCAGCAGAAACCCACTATCTCCAGAGTCCCTCACCCGCTGTGGCAGGCCACAAGAGGTAGGTGAACAGGCCAGCCTCTCTACTGCCAGGCTTCCCGCTAAGCCTCGAAATTCCTGATCTGCCGGGGTGGGCTAAGCCTGGGACTTGGGCCTGAAACTCTGGGAGGAAGACTTGGGTTGCTCCCTACCCCAGGAGATGCCAATGGACAGAGCCCTAGAGGAGCGAGGTTTCTAGACTGGCTCAGTAGCTGGGCTGTGGGACCAGTCCAGGGCATCAACAAGGAAGGCAGCAGGAGCAGCCCCAATGGGAGGCCTCAATGATGAAGGCTGGGCCAGCTCTGCACTCAGAAAACGGCTGTGGGGCCTGGGTTCTTCCTCTGTGTCGCGGGACACCGGTCTCACCAATCCACACGCAAACACACACCTGCACCCTTGCCCATTCCCTTCTCTGCCCATACCATAACCTGCTCCTCCACTCCCACAGCAGCCCTCTCTCCCTCCACACACGGCCTCCTGCTTCTCCCCAAGGCCATGACTGCCTTTAGTTCTGCTCTGGGCCTATGAGCTTCCCTTCTGGTGCCATCCGGTGCCCAGCTCCTCTCCCGCCAGGCCCATCCTCCGAGGCAGGAAGCCTCTTCCTGGAAGACAGTTCCCCAGGCTCCTTGCAGCACTGGAGCTCAGTGCTTTCTGCCCACAGCTATCTCACCAGATCACCCAAAGTTGACACTTGTCCCACATGACAATTGTCAACACCAGTCTTGGTGGTCCCCCTCCAATGTGCCCCCACCTTGGACCCTGGCAGTTGCTCTTCTCTTTTGTTTTCTGCAGCCTAAGTCTCAGAAAGAACAAGTTCTGGAATCTCCAATCGGTCTCCCACATGGACCTAGGCACTCAGAGAGGCGTTTTTTAAGATGATTAAATCTATGATTACAGCTCTGGTCCTAGCACATCCATTATTTCCGGCCCTGAGGTGGCCTGGGGAAGTGTTAGCAATGGCCCCTGTGAAGTGCGAGGAGGTACACATCTGAGAGCTCCAAGGACTAGCTAAGAGCCTCTTCTTGCCCCTCTCTCTGCTTCTGTCCTTTCAGGAAAACCCCTCAAGTGACAGTGATGGGGATGGTTGACAGGCAGGGGTCCTTAGGCTGGAGGGAGGCTGCGGTCAGAGCTGGTGCCTGGTCATTTGCATCTCCCAGCTGCCCACCAGCTGGGGCAAGGTTGGGGGAAGGGGCTGACCTGGGCAGGACTCACTCTCCAGCACATATTTTTAATATGCAAGTTAAATAAATATTTCAATCATTTAATAGCCACCAGTCTGATACCCACTTCTAAGAGGACTGGCCTGTGTCACAGTCCTTTCCTCCCTGCCCCACCTGGGGGTGCAGTGGAGTCCCTAGCTGCCCGGCCAGCGGGCCCTGCAGGTACTGGGGCCTCAGCAGCACAGACCAGAGAAAGCCCCCCACCCCCGCAGACCCCCAGCCGGAATCCCAGTCTAGGCCACTAATGGGGCTTTCTGAGAGTTAAGAAGACAGACACCACAGCCAAGTGGAATACAAAAATAGAGCCTCTCTTTTGTTAAAAAAAAAAAAAAAAAAAAAAAAAAACAACAACAACCCAACAGCAAACAGTATCAACAACCGGAACCCAGGGCTCCCCCAGCACCTCCCCAGCCTGTAGCAGCGCAGAGGTCATCTTGCTTGAGTTTTGGGCGCCCTACAGGATGAGCCTGTCTGTGGTCTGGCGTTGTGGGGAGGGCCAGGTAGCACCTATCGGGGCTCAGGGGCCCAAGTCCTCTGGCTGCCGCGCAGGCTGCGCGTGAAGGGCGGGTAGTTGAGGAACTCGAAGCGCAGGCTCTGCTCGGTGGTGTGGTGGCCCCGGGGCAGCCGCTTCATGAAGTGGACCTCGCGCTGGTGCTGCCGCGTCTTGGAGCCCTTGCGGGGCCGGCCCTTGCGAGTGAAGGCCATGTACCATCCCTCGTACTTGGCATTCTGCAGCGCTGTGTAGTTATTCTCCAGCACAATCTCTGTGAAGACGCAGTCCTTGCCTTTGCCGTTGCTCTGCAGGTAGGGGGGCCAGACACCATGTTACAGAGCCCCCCCAGCAGAGGCAGAGGGTGAGCGGCCCCAGACAGCAGGTGGGCACCCCAGCAGATGGCGAGGTGGGCAGGAGCTGCAGCCCCACCCCCTGCCTGGGCACCCGCTCTCTAATCCCTCACAACCCGCAGCCCACCCGGCAACTTCCTGTCCTCCCAGGCAGCAGTGACACATGGCTGTCTATGGAGGGGCTGGGCCCCAATGCAGAGAGGCAGAGAGAGGGGCCCAGAGCCTGCCTGCTCTGGCCTCCTGCCCGCCAGTCTGGCCACCCATCTCCCCACCTGCCCCTCTCACCCCCTCAGGACTTCGGCTCCCTGGCCCCAGGGCAGCCACCCTATGGGGGAGGGGAGGCCTGGGAGGAGACACTAAGACCCCAGCCCCAGAAGCCTAGGAAGCGGGGAGCTTGAGGCTGGAGAGGAGCTGTGACTAATGGAACCATTGCAGAGCTCGGCCGAGGGGCTGGGCCTGCGGCTTACTGAACATTCCAAATGCTGGTACCATGTAATTGGACATAATAGCAAAGCAATTTGGCGATTTGTTAAAAAGATATATGGAATTTACCAACCCCCCCCAGCCCCTTCCCTAGCCTTCATTCTTCCTCCTTTGCCTTTTATAGTTTTCATCTCTCAAACAGCTTCCTTCTCCCTCACCCCTGCACCCAATCATGAGGTAACCCCAAGACGGCCCTGTGGCCCTCTGCCTACCTTGTTAGGATCAGAGCACAGGACCGTCCTGGAGGAGTCCAGCCAGCCCAAGCCACTCCCCAGGTCCTGCGGACCCCGCCTGCCTGCTGGAGCCTCACCTTGGCGATCAGCTTCCCCTTCTTGTTCATGCAGATGTAGAGGCCCGTCTCGGCTCCTCGGACTCGAACTCTGCTTCCAAAGGTGTCCGTCTCCACGATGAGCTTTGCTGTCAGAGAAGGTAGGAGGATGGTTATTGGCAGATCCCTGACCCCAGCTGGCCCACACACTTGTCACAGCCCAGCAGCAACTGCTCCAAAGACCAGGAACCCAAAACATGGACTCCAGCTCCAGCCCAGCTGCTAACATGCTATATAACCCGGAGAAAGGGCAAGGTGCTTTTCTGGACCTCAGGCCCCAGCCCTAGATTTAAAGAGGGCAGTGGATGGGATTATGGTTTTCAAACTGGGTTCTCAAGAGAGGTCTTGGGAACATCAAATTGAAAAGGCTGAAGTGCCATTCCTTCCACCCTCTTTTTAAATCTCTTAGATTGAGGCTCTAAGTAAAATTTAATTGAATCAGAGTTCCATGGCTAATCAAAAGATCTCCGAGGATCCTTCCAACTCCGAATATCATGTGCACGTGCCTCACAGGTCATTACAAACATTTGGGTGCAGTGGTGACCTCCAGTCCCAAGGCCAAAGATAAAAGCATTGTCTCCTGTTTCTGCCACTTTGGGTTCTTACTCACAGCTTTCGCCACCCCCAACATCACCAGGCTCTGCTCTGCTGAGAAGGTGCTAGGGATGGGGACAGCTCTCCCTAAACACATAGCCCAGAGCAGGCTGCTTTCCCAGAACCTCAGACACCTGCCATGAGGATCCTGCCTCTTCCCTGTGGTTTCCCAGTCACCAGGGTCCCCACCCCCAGTGTCTAGAAATCAACTCAATCGCCTTTTCTCTTTCAGCCTCATCACAGCTGGGCTTCTCAGCCCAGTGACCAAATATCTTCTGTGGGTGAGGAGGAGGGAGTATCATGCCCGCTGGCCTCTTAGTCTGGAGGCCAGGAGGCAGGGCTGAATTCTATGCCTCCTTCCCCACTACCCTCCCCTTAGACAGCCAAGTTGCCACAGAAGCCTGTCCCGTTCACCTCTCTATGCAATCCTCTCTTATAGGCTGTCCCCAAGAAAGTAGTGAGGTTGACTTCACTGTTTGGGAAGGGACAGAAGGTGCTGGCTCTCCTGCCCTCCCTGCCACAGAGCCCAGCCTCTCTACTCCTTGAGAAAGCCAATTGTTGGACTTAGCCTGCATTGACACATGGCACCTCCTCTGTCCCTGAAACCCATGGCAGGGGTTGGGGGCACTGAGGTCAGCAAGTCAGTCATCACTGCTCAGCCTGTAACATCCCCCTCTTTACACAGGTGCAGTGCTGGGACCCAGTGGCCAAGCCCCCAGTTTGGCCCCAAGTCAGCAGGGAAATGCAGCTGTCACCTCCCTGCCCGCCCACCTCCTCCTGGACCTAGCCAGTCTGCTCATCCCTTTCCTGCTCTGCCTTCCACAGCAAGAGGCAGCTGTTTTTAAGGGCCAGGAAGGATGCTGACTAGATGAGTGAGAGGATGCCACTCTGCGGACTCTGGCCAGATGCAGCAGGCAGGGATGAAGTAGGTGCCTCTGCATCTTCCTGGGGCCGATAAAGAAGCCATTGAGACCTCTCTGCTATTCTCCCCAGACTCCTCCAGTCCTGGCTGAATACCCTGAGCCTCTGTTCTTAGGCCCCCAGCTCCTATCCTGCTGTGGGGCAGGGACTAGGGAAGGTGGGAAACCTCTTAGATGGCCAAGGAGAGAAGTGGGCATCAGACTTCCTCTGATGTCTGAAGATGAATTCCCCCACATCAGCTTGGCTTCTGCTTTCTCCCCAAAATCCAAGGATGCTGGGCCATTTGCTCTGATAGAGCAAACTCTGGAAGAGCCAGGCCTTCGTCTCCTCTCCTTAGAAGCTGAGAAGGGCAGCAAGCAGCCAATTTGGAGGGACAAAGGGACGGTAGGCCTGCTCTGCCAGCCCAGCAGGGGGGCTCGGCCACCAGGCAGGCTGCCCCCACCCCCACCCCAGAGAGCCCCCTCTCTTCCAGGTCGGTTGAATCTGCTCGGATCTGGAGAGCTGGGGCTGCAGTTTACGGCAGCTCTCCCAACCGGGCTTTTGGAAAGCTTAACATTTTCAAACCTATTCTTCCACCCCAGTGACAGATTTATCCCAGGAAAATTATGTCTCCTCCTCCAGCTTTGAAGGGAAGTCAGCTATGTCGATGCAGAAAAAATGCAGCGAGACATACTCGATCCCCCAAACTGGCTCAAGAAGAGGAGAAAGTATTCAGGAAATGTTAAAAAAGGTGAAAGTAAGAAGAGTTTTAATCGCTCTGCCAGACGCGGGGGTCTCTCCAGAGATTCAGAGAGAACAATCTTGAACCTCTTTTTTAACATTTACAGACTTGCAACTCCTTTCAAACTCCACATCTGAAAAAAAGCTCGTTCTTTTTCTGTTTTATATCATTCTTCATTTTTCTTCTTAGCTCTTAAAATGCCTCACCTTTTTATTACTTTTTAATAGAGTCTTCCCCTCTCCTTTCATGCTTGTTTAACGTGGTCATTATTTAAAGGTTTTTAAACTCACAATAATCGCTCTCTAAAAACAACACCAGCCGCCCAGAGGGTTTGCTTTTCTCTTGGTACATCCAGGACTCTGGAAATTGGCCCCGTTTCAAGGCAGGAATATTGAATGTTTTAGAAATCAATCAGTCCTCAGCTTCTCTGCCGGCAGTAGCTCTCCGTACTGGCCACCCCACAGGGAGCCGGGAGCCCTGCCCCAGCCGCCTGGGTTCCCCGGGGAGTGAAGCAGGGAGAGCCCCTTCCAAGCCCAGTTTCCACCTGTAATTGACCCTTCTGATCAAAGTATTTAAAGGTTCCCAGCAAACCCCTTTTCCAACTGGGAGAGTTGAGGGGATTTCTCTCCCTTCTCTTTCCCACTCTCCTTTTGTGGGCCCTGGCGACATATCCTCTTTCAAGCGCTTCCCTTAAACCTCGGCCCCCTCCCCCTGAACCCCCTGCCTCCACCTGCAGCTGGGGAGGAGTGTATGAAGTGGGGACGTGTAAAGGGAGATTCCTAGATTCATTCATTTGCTGGGCAGGGAAGGGGGCACCTGTGGCCACGTATTCCCCGAGGTCCCTTCCCTAGCCCTCTCTTCCCCAGCTGACCCTCAAGACACCTTTCTGCCTTAACTCCTTCCCTTCTGAGCTGGGGACCCTGCAGGCCCCCTGTCAGTGCAGTTGGGACTGGCGGTGCAGGCGCCGCTCATCCCACAAGCTACCTTCAGTGCGCCTTACCGAAGGGGTCGCCGTCCTCTGCCATGGCGTTGATGCGCTTGTTGGCCAGGACCTGCACGTGCTTCCCGCTGGTGCGGCTGTAGAGCTGGTAGGTCCGGATGAGGCGGCGGCTGAGCTGATCCGTCACCAGGCTCTGCTCCCTCACATGCTGTGTAAAATTAGGTGAGGACTGAACAGTTACCTTTAGGAAATTGAAAAATACACAATACGCCATTATAATGCTACTCCGCCCAGGGGCCCGAGTGGCCCCATCACCCTGCGTCCCCCTCACTGCCCAAGCCACCAGCAGGTGCTGGGGTTTCCCCCAACATGCCAGCCCAGGCCACCATCCCCCACCCAGGCAAATCGGGCAGACCCAGCCCAGGATAAACAAGCCCCGGGGAAAAGCTGGACCCACCTGTTGGGAGACACCCTGGGGCTCCCGGCCAGCCCGGAACAGGGAAGCGAGCTCCCCGCCCAGCGCAGGGCCCCCGCCCGGGCCTTCCTAGAGGAGCAGGGCGCTTTTAAGTAGGGAGACAGCGCTCCCCGACCCCTGACATTTATAAAGACAAATTTACGGAGCAAATGTTGAGAGTGCAGGGGACCTGGGCACCCGATCATTGGGCCAAACCGGCCACAAGCCTCCCCCGAGGGGCGTGGAGAGGATCTCTGCTGTAGTCACCCGGTTTCCCCTGGCATCGAACATCCATCTCCTGGCCCCGGCTGCCCCCTTCCTCGGCGGCTGAGTGTTCCCTGTGCCCACAGCCGGCGAGGATACATGGGGGACAGTGCTGGGCTCCGAGACCTTCGCTTCTATCCTGGCAACTCACTCGCTGTGTGACCTCTGGCGGGGTGCTACCTCTCTGTGCCTCAGCTTCCTCCTCAGGGTGGCTCGGGGCTGGGTTTCTAAAGTGCCCTCAGCCCTCCGGCGCCGGCCGCAGAGTCAGTCCCAGTGCCCCCGACCGGCGCTGCCCACCCGGGTCTCCAGCCGGCCCGCCTGGCCCCCTCCTCCGCGCACCCCTCCTCACCTGGGCTTGAAGGCAGAGGACCAGCAAGTGCAACAGCCTGTGGGAGACAAAAGCGGGCGGGAGAGAGAGGCGCGGGTGAGGCGAGGGGTGCGGCGGGCGGGCGGCGGGGCAGGGCGGCGCGGTACTCACAGGCAGCTCAGCGCGGAGCGGGGGCTGCCCATGGCGCGCGGCCCCGGGGCACCAAAAGCCCGGCGGGTCACGCCGTCCCGTGGGCGGCCGCGGGGGGACGCACGGAGCAGGGCGCGGGCGGAGAGGGTGCGGGTGCCGGAGGCCGGCGGCGACCACGACGCGGCTCCGCGGGTCCCGTGGAATGTCGTGCTCGCCGAGCCGCACCGAGTCGCTGTGCGCCGCTGCCGGAGCCGGTGGCCGCTGGCTGCTCCGGTGCCGGAGCGGGCGGGAGGGTCACGGGCTGGCGGGGTGGGTGGGGAGGTGGGAGGGGTGGGGGCGGGGGGCGCCGCACCGGGCGCGAGGGGGGAGCGCGGGGCGGGCGGCGGGAGCCCGCAGCCCCCGGCTGGGAACTGGGGCCTGGATGCAGCCCGGGGCGGGGGCGGGGCGGCCGGGGCGGGGCGGCCGACGGGTCCGGGATTGGGGGTCTAGGCTAGGGGAGGGGTCTGGGGACCCGCGGTAGGGGCAGGGGCGGCCGGTCTGGGCGCCTCCCCCTATCCGCAGCCTGTGCCCTTGCGCGCTCTCCGGGCCCGGGCGCGCGGGGATGGGGGCGCCTGGGGCTGCGGGCTCTGCGGGCCAGGAGACCCCGGGCCAGGGATTCCCTGACCGCCCGGCGCGCCCCAGTCCGGTGGGGCTGGGTCTCCACCTCGGGACCAGCAGCTCCTGCCGCCGGCTACATAGCAGTCTCCGAGCCACCTACTGTGTGTCCCGCCGGGACTGCCCCCTGGGAGCGGCCGCTAACCGTGCGGCGAATGGCTGCGCACCCGGCCCTAGCGCAGTGCGTGCCGGTGCCACCCGGACCCCACTCTCCTGTTTCTGCCGCGTGCCCGGTCCTGTTGGTCTCTCCAGTCTCGTTCAGTCTCCCAAGGAGGCCCTGGGAACCAGAAATGCCTCCCCCTCCCCCGCATTATCACCGTCACCCCTTCCCCTGTGCCCCTCGCCACACACACACACTAGCCTGAAGCTTGAGGAGCACCCCGAACCACCTGTGTGGAAGAGAGAGTCCGGAGGTCCCTGGCAGGACCCACTGTCCCCCTACCCCAGCAGGCAGCAGGGGCAAAAATAACTGTTCTCAGTAGCTTTTCCTGGGGGAAGGGACTTCCATCCAGGCCACCCAGCCCTTTCCCCCTCAAAGCCCCATTTGTTTTTCATTTCACAGATATTTACACACCTACTGCATTCTAGGCAGGGGCTGGTCAGCTGGGCCTGGGGCATGGGAGAAGGTGGGCACTTGTCTAAGCCTTTCCTAGCCCCTCACCTTGTGGCTTCCCCCCTGAGATTTTGGGAAACCCTGAGCCCCCACGCTGCTTCTGTGGGAGCAGCCTGGGTGGGCAGAGATGACCTGGGACAGGTGCCCTGTGAGGAGCAGGTGATGCCCTACCAGGCTGCTGCCTTCGCCCACAACTTCCCTTCCCCACTGACCCTGCATTCCCCTGGGGGTAGGGCTGGAGGGTTTCGTGTGGTCCCAGGAAGCCATTAGGCCAAAATTAGCAGCAGCCCTAGTCCAGCCTCACAGCCAGGCCCTGCCTCCCTCCCTCCTCTGTGTCCCACCTTTCCCTGTGCCCCATCTTTCCAACTACCAGCCATAAATGCAAACACTGAGCAATGGAGAGATGGGAAAACAGAGGGTGTGTTCCAAGATTTTATCTCTCCTCAGAGAAGTAGACTTCCAGAGCACACCTGCCATCTTCCTCCAGGAGTCTGTTCACTGGGCTCTTGCCCACACAGACCTCGTGGCAAGGACCATGTCTTAAGAGCTCAGAAATCACAGTTCAAGGCACAAAGCTGGGCAGAGCTGTTCTGCAGTTAAAAGTTCATTGAATGAAAGAATGAATGATGGGGAAAGTGGCTGAGTCTTCAGACTTCAGCCTATTTGCAACTTCCCCAGGAAGACCTGCCTTCACCCGCTCCCAACAGATTATCACCAGCAACACCACCAGTAAGTGAGCACTTGTATCTGCTACAGGCTTGGCAGGCACTGTCTCCTCTTAAAGCCCATGGGGAGGTGGGCCCATCAGGCGGAGACAAGTCAGGTGGACACAAGTGGCCACAGCCCAGGCCAGCCCTTGCCTCCCCTGTGCTCTGTGTTAAGGCCTGAGTCACAATTTGTTGAGTGGGTCTCTTTCCCTCTCTGCACTGCTTCAAGTGGGCAAGGGTGATGTCTGTTTGCTTGTGGTCTTACCCTCATCCCTGTACATAGTAGGCCCTCAGGCTGTTTAGTTGTGTATATTGATGAACAAATGATTGAATGGAGAGATGGGGACAGGGGACAGGCACTTCCTGTAAAAAACGGGCTTTCTCCCACCATGGACTCTGAACTTCAGTGAGATGAGCAGAGCAGGGAGTAGGCCCCAGGCAGGGGTGAGGGTGATCCACCCATCCAACAGTGTTTGCATGGTCCTGGGGTCACAGCCAGAGTAACTCTGGGTACCTGCCCCTCCCTGGAACGGGGGTAGGGGCAGAGCGCCTGGCTGAGACCAGCATTCAGCTCCCGCTGTGGAACCCCCAGAAGATTCTGAGGCCCTGGGCTGACCCTCAATGGTCTTCAGCCACCCTTCTTCCTCTGCCCCAGAGAAAGAAGATGGGCGTCCTGGGATCTGAAGGGTCTGAGGTCAAGTTTCAGTCCTGTCCCAGCCTCTGCCAGGGAGTCTGTACTGGACCAGGATTCCTTTACATTTGGATTTGGGGACCCTCCTGAGAAGTGGACCTTCACCTAGTTCGTTGAAATTCTCATCTCCCCAAAAGTCCCTTTCTCTGGGGGAGAGAAGCAGATGGAGGCACCCCATGAGCAAGCACCTGGCTCTGCCCCGGCACGCCCCATGACTGACAGATGCAAATATCCCGCCGGGCCCCCGCAGGCCGCTCCCTCCCTCGCTGGCTCACCCGCCTCCCGGCCAGCTCCCTCCCTCCTTTATCTTATCAAAGCCGGGTAATTACAATTGCTATTTTGTTTCCTCGAATCTGCAATCAGAGCTCCCTGGCCCAGATGAAGGAGCGCCTGTCAACCTGATCGCTGAGTGACAGCCCGGCCACCTTTCCCGGCCGCCCCCACACTCCGCAAACACAAACACACACACGCACAGACACAAACTCCCTCACCTGCAAACACAAACACACACTCTTCGGCAACACACGGCCCGTCTCCGCAGACACGCCCTCGCCGGCACCCAGACACACTCCTTCAGCCTATTTCCAAACGCACCCCTCGATCCCAGCCCAGCCCCTGGCCCCTCCAATCCACACCCGCCGGAGACCGCAGCTTGCTCCGACGCGCGCTTCCTGCGCCGGGCGTTCAAAGCGCCGCGGACTCACCGCCGACCGTTCAAATGCAAATCGCCGAGACTACGTTAAGCACTTCGGCCGCTGTCTGGGAGTCGTCTCCCTCGGCCCCCAAATAGGAGCCTGCCCTTCCTCCAGCAGTCGGCAAACCCCGGCGTATGCCTTCATCCCCCAGGGCTGTGAGGTCACAGTGAGCCGGCAGCGCTCCTACTGTGCGCTGAAGGGCAGAGAAGAGGGCTCGAGGAGAGGCGGGGGCGTGGAGAGAGGAATAAACCATGCCCAGCTGTGTCCTCAGGGCGTCCCAACCGGCCAAGATACTCCTGGGCCGAGAGGCTGATGTGGATTGGGCCCCCACTGCGGGCAGGAGCGTGCTCGGCGCTGGCCCGCTCCCACCGGGAGACCGACCCGGAAAACCGGGGAAGAATGCACGGAGCGATCAGTGCCATCGCGGGGGCTGGGTGGGGTAAATATTGGGGCGGCGCCGCGCAGGGTGTAGATGGGTCAGCTAGGGAGGCCTCCCCGGAGAGAGGACTCTGCGAGGCACTCAGCCAGTCTCCCGCTCCTCCTGCCACGCACGTGCCGAGGCCTTTGGAGGCTGGGGCCAAAAGGAGGAAGGAAGGGAAAGAGGAGTGAGGGCCGCAGCCCGACTTCCCCGCTCCAACTCGAGTCGTTTGAATGAATGAATGAACGTATGCACGCATGCAAGCAAGCCTCAATGGCATTCCCCCGGCTTCTGCCCAAGATTCGGCCGCCCAGAGCACTGGCGGGACTCGGAGGCCCCGGCCCCAGGGCGCCCGCCCGGAGCCTCTAGAGGCCAGGGGAGCGCTACGACCACGAGCGGCTTCTACCTCGCCCTCCAGAGGGCGCCAGCCCGGCCTTCCCTCTGCCTGCCGACCGCGCTCCGCAGCGAGACCCATGGTTTCCAGCCAGGCCGCCCCTCCGCTGGGTTCCCCAGGGAAGCATTTTTAAAAGAGTCGTCCTGGAGCAGAGAAAGGCGCCTGCGACCCAGATCACCGCAACACAGACGGGCGTCATCTCCCTTTGTCCTCAACTTGAGGAAGAGGGAGGTTGGAAATTGGACCCCTAGTTCCTCACCACGGGCTCAGGGAGAATCTCCTTCACTAGGGATGCGCTGAAGAGCGTGCGGGTAGGTACTGAGGACGCAAGGTCTCAAAGCTGACCTCACTTGCCCCAGAACCAGCAGCCCATGATATCCCGGAGCCCCTCCCCCTTGCCCAGAGGCTGGGGGTGGGAGTTGGCCTGACCCCCATCAGGCCCTGTTCTCTGTCTATCCTCAGCCTTTGTGGCCCCAGGCTGTCTCGGGAGGCAATGTTTTGTTTGTTTGTTTGTTTGTGGGCATTGACAATCCTCCCCCCCCCCCACCTACACAGCTGCTGAACTGCTGACCCCAGAGCTGGTCACACACACTCATCCTCAAATCAGGTGTGTCCCTTCTTCCTGGCACAAGAACAGCCAAGTGCCAAAACTACCTGATTCCAGGAACCAGAGACCCCCAGACCCCACGGGGTGTGGGGGACAAGAACCCCTTAGTCCAGGAGGCCAATTCCCAGGGGCCCTTTTCTGCCCCCATATGCCAGGCCACCCGGATTCTGGTTTCCCTGTCACCCAATCTGGCTAGTCCCCTCCATCTGGCCCCCGGAGTCAGGTTTCTGTAAGGTCCCAGCCCTGCTCAAGAGAGGGCCTGCAAGGCTCAAAGGAGGAGCGAAGCCTGGTCCCGCCCTGCCCTCACAGGCCCTCTCTGGGCCGGAGCCCCTCATGGGGCTAGGGACGCACATTCCTCAGGCTGCCCAAGCCCGCTTATCTGCCCCCTGCCCATCAGCCTGAGTGCTGACAGAGGCCCAGACCTCTTGTTTGGATGCTGATAACCTCCTGCGATGGCCCTCCCCCACCTACAGAGACTGAAAACGGGCTGAGTGTTGGGAGGTCCTCTTCCAGCAAGGCAACTGGGGCCCAGGCCCCTGGTCCTAGCCCAGGGTCGTGAGGGTAGAAGATCCCAGAGTTCTCCACCCTCCCCCAGGCCCAGGACCACCCTGGGTGCTGCCACAGTGCCACCTGGCGGTCCCTAGGGAAACATCACCTAGCACAGGAAGAAGCCACACAGGAGCTGCAAAAACCCCACACCACTTTATTTCAACCTTTATCCAAAAATGTAAAAACTATTAAAAATCTGTAGTTCTGAGTTTCAGGCACTAACTTCTAATCCTCACAGACAGGTGGGAAGAGAGGCCCCAAGAATGGTGCAAGATCAGAAAACCAGGGCTGTGTGGAGCACAGGCCCTCTCCTAGCACCAAAGACCCAAGTCCCTCCCACCCAAACCCCACCCAAGCTCTCCTCTTCAAGGAAGAAGAAACATTTACAATTCTTGAAACTTCTCGGGGAACAGGGTTCATGGCGGTGCATGGCGCATGGAGCTGACCTGAAAAGAGGAAACAAGGAATCAGCACCTAGGCCCTCAACTGCTTCTCCCGCCCCTTCCCAGAGCGTTCTGGGCACTTCTCCCCGCAACTCACCAAGGAGGGCTAGGGCCTGCCCCCCTGCTTTTTGGCAGGAAGGATGGGGCACAGCTCAGCTTCTTCCTCGTCACTGTCTTCTTCTTCTTCCTCGCTCTCCTCCTCAGAAACATCATTGCTCATCGTAACTGGTGGACACACAAGCAGTAGAAGGATGGGATGTTAAGACCAGACACTTTCACACCGCATCCATTTCTTCATGCCCTGTGGTTCTAGGCTTGCAGGGACCCTGACCTCCCAGTGCTTATGGGCTAAGTGGGAAGAACCTCAGACCCTGAACTGGGTCACAAAGAGCCAAAGGAGTCTTCATCACTGGAGCTGGAGAAGCTGGGCCATGTTCCTTGGAGGAGGTAGGCTTGAGTAGACGGAAAGGAGAGGGCATGTCATGCACAGGGCACAGCGTGAAGGGCACGCAGACCTGTACAGGACTGCACTGGGAGATGAAGGTGGGATGGGGCAGGAGTGCGAAGTGGGGGAAGCCTGATGAGAGAGTCTACTGGAAGCAAAAGAGAGGGCCCTTTCCTCCTCTCACCAATCTGGTGCCGCCCAGTGATCCGCACAGGGCCAGAGCCCGACTTCAGGCGGAAGGTTACAGGTGGTTGGAGCTGGAAGTCGTCCAGACTGAGCTGGGAGGAAGACAAGGATGAAGGCCTGGCCCACTCCTAGCCCACCCCACACTGTAATGAGTACTGACGTCCTCAACCCCCTCACCACCACCACCACGAGGGTAGAGCTGGGGAACTCACCATGGGTTGGCAGGACAGCTTGAGGTTGGCCACAGGGACTGCGATCTCCTGATGGTCATGGTTCCGGGCCACAACTTCTACCACATTACACTCGTCTTTGGCTCCCTCGGTGAGGCAGAGCTGGGAAGGGTACACAGGGCCTCAGGGTCTCCTCAAGCGAGGGCTGACACCACAAGTAAAGGCATCTACCCTAGCACTTGCCCAGCTTCAGAGGTCCCGGTTCACCTGGCCAGGGGAGCCGCCCATGCCGGGGGGTTAGGCTGAGGAGGTGTCTCCAAGTAAAGGGGGTCCGGGGGTTGGGTAGAGACATATATTGCTTGCCTGGGCTTATTTATTAAAACCCCACTCCCCCGCCCCTCACCATGGTTAGTGCCAGCACGTGCTCCGCATCATCCTCTTCCTCTACCTTAAAGGTGAAGGAGCGGGTGTGGCCGGAGAGCTCACAGCCTGGGAGAAATAACAGTGAGTATGCCTGAGCGTGTGTACGGGGCTGGGGATGGGGGATGTCACCAACCCGCGGTCACGTGTAACCTTGGGCAGACGAGCCATTTACACGTCCACCTCCTTCTCTTCTCTCAGAACACCTGGGGCGCTCGGCCGTGGGCCCCGCCCAACACATCTGGGGCAGGGATCTCGCCGCCCCCTTCGGCTGTGCGTGCGAGGCCCCCTCTCCTCCAGGAACAGCAAAGCAGCCCTCCGCCCACACCCACGCCGTGAAACCCTCCGCATTCCGCCTCTCATCCCTACCTCTTACCGCCCGAGTACCACCCTCAGCCTCTCCCTTCCCCAATACCGAAGAAAAAACTGTCCATAGTGACTGGGGCTGGGACCCGCAGGCCCCCGACACCCCCGGCCCGCGTTCGGCTCTCCTGACTCAAAAACGCCAAGGCAGCTGCAGTGCCGGCGGCCATGCTGCAAGGGCCTTCTCCAAACTCCGCCCCCGACACGCACAAAGCCGGGGACCCTCGGCCAGTTCCGGCCCCGCCCATTAAAGGAGACGCTCAGTCCCGAAAGAGAAAAGGCACCGAGACCCCGCAGCCCTACCCGGAGCCCGCAGCTTCTGCTCGTATTGTATCAAGACCGAAGAGAAAGGAAGTAAACATCACAGAAGAACGGATTTGGGATTTATGTTAACATCCTTGCTCATTTCCACGACTATGAGGGTGTCCACTTCCCCAAGCTCCTCGCTCTGTGTCGGAGGAGTGTCTCCCACTCTTCCAACCCAGGGTAAGCTTTCGTTAAAGGAGGTATAGATATAAAAGTTAACCCTTCTTACTCCTCCTCCCAGCAAAGGTGGGGTTCAGGGCAGTGCTTTTCCGCCACAAGCAAAGGAAATGCACTCAGATTGTCTTTGCCTCAAGAGAGCCGAGGAGCCTAAAGACTTTCAGTTCAGGAATTTCCATCCTAACACGTGTGTCCTCCTCTCGGCTAAGCCTCTCCTAGATACTCTTCCTGCTCCAATGACCCCGCAACTTGTTATGCCTTCACTGAGCCTTAGCTGCTGGCACTTGCTAGCAGAGGACTAGTTAGTTCATGTGTGTTCTGTTCCTGGCCGACCCACGCTTTTTGAGCTTTTAATTCCAAATCAGCCAGAAGTTATCTTTGCGCCCTGGATTGCCAGTTTACGCTACTCGCGCCATCTTTCGCCTTTTAAGAATCAGGCCAACTGTGTGCTTTTTCCCAATAGATAGCAAAAACTCAAACAAGAGGCCCTATTTCACACCCAGGTTGTAACTGTGGCAAGAGGGTGGGGTGGCTTGGCTAAGAACCAGTCTACTTTTCTTAGCTCTTGCCCTAAGGAAAATCTGGAAGTGATGGGAAGTAGGAGGGCTGCCTTCAAGATCCAATCTCTAACTTGGAACAGCTGTGGAGAGGAGGCATCCTGCTTGTAGGTGAGGCATGAAAGAGGAGAGAAGGTAGGGCGCAGACAGGAAATAGATTCACACAATACAACACGACAAGCATTCACTTCAAGTTTTATTTTGCCTCTTGCATGGTCTTTTACAGTTCGTTTTCTACAGGAACTGAGCTCTGATCTAAACAATCAATAAAAATGTCATTCCAACCTTAATATTCATAACCAGGAAATAGCATAGCACTTCATGATCCTAGAGTGATGAAAGCAAAGACCAGGACATCTGTTTCACAGTTACCTGTGACCAGACCAGCCAACATGATTCCTAAAAGCCAAGATAAAACCAAAAGTAAACTTACTAAAACATCCTGATTCCATGAGGTTAACTCTGAAATCCTCCAGACAAAATGCTAGAATTGTCCACTACTGTTAAATACGAGAAAACTGAGGAAAATTCAGCTGTCTTACTATCTAGTAGGGGTCTTCCCTTCATCTCAAGCCCTCAAAAATGCAAACTTGGTTCCAGCTTTACAACATACCATATCCTTCTATCAGTTAAAAGGTTTTTAACCTTAAAACCTTCTCTCCTTTCTTCTCACCTACTTAGTGCATACTCAAAGGCCTTGGTTGAAAGTCACTAGGTACCACTAGGTACAATGCTTTAGGGCTGTCAAAGCCCACACTGGTGGAGTTCTATGAAAGAAACTGAAGTTTCTTTCTCTTTACCCCTCTCCCCTCACTCAGCTCGAAGTTAAACAGCTGATGCAAAACTGCAGAGAAGCAAGATAACAAAATACTGTTATGAATCCATGGAGAAATCAGCCAGCCATGATGAAAAAATGAGTCCTGCAGAGATTATCTGCCAGCTTCATGCTCAGAACCCTTAGAAACACCGAATCTAAATTAAAATACATGAAGCTTTCACAATCTGGTTAAAGGAAAAAGGTAACTGTAAATACCTGGTTAAAGTGTGCTCATTCTTTCTTTCAGAAATTAGATACAAACATGCAAGAATTAAAGACTCTGATTTAATAAAAATCAGTAGTAACAGGTCTTGAGATTAAAAAACAACTGACCTGAGGGCAAATGGGACCAATCAGTTCCCGAACCCTACCTGACAAATGTCAAATCCAACATTTCACATGCTGACCTAATATTGAGGTTAATTTCCAGAAGTAACTGCACCTTGCAACAGATTAAGTCCTACAAAATTAGGCTCTCGTACCCCAAATGGTCATGGCCTAGGCGGGAGGCACTTTAAAAATAAAACTTCAAAAAGAAAAAAAACCCAAAGACAAAAGAAAATCCACTTTTCACTGGTTTACATTATTCAAAGTGCCATTCTGAACCAACACCCTTTCATTTTTAGAGGAAAAAAATTTACAGAAACAGTAAACACAAAGGATAGTCAGGTTACAACTAGTTTATATACAAAGAAATTTACAAGTTTGTCAATTGTAGGCTTTTGCCACAAACAAATGCACATTTGTCCCTACAAAGTACAACATGCCTGAACCAAGTCATTACAGGAGACAATTGGCCACGGCTTTACAAAAAGCAGAATAACTGCCCCAAATTGAAATTATTTATTCAGCTTAAACTAATGCCACAACCATCCCACTTGGAATCACTCCACCCTGACACTTCTGAAACCCACTAAATCTTTTTCATCTCTGCCATGTCCCCAAAGACTGAGACATTTCACTCAATAAACCAAGGAAGATGACAGATGTTATTTTGATTACCCTCAGGTGAGAAATGCAACCACACTGGATGCAGAAAATAGTGCTGACTACATTTATTGAAGACTCTCTCCCTGTATAAGCCCATGTAAAAGGTCTCAGCACCTAACACAAGACTCAAAAAGGAAGCCCACATCTCTTTCATACAGGATTTGCTGCAATACTATATTCTTCCAACCAGTGAGTAGTCTGAAAGTGTGACGGGTGAGTTTTACATAGTCTTCTTTGTTTCGAATCCAATTGGCTGATCTGTTGCCACTCCAGAGGCTGAACTGTATGAAGACCTCAACTGCCACCCACAAGGTGCAGTTAAGAGACTTTTGGACAGTTCACAGTGCCTACAAATGTCACAGGCTCCGACCAAGTATAACCACATCCTTTGGAAATCCTTCCATTTTTGCAATTTCAAAACAGCCTAACTTGCTGTAAAATTCCAGAATTCTTTTATCATCTGGTCTCACTTCACAGAAAGCTCCCCGGGAGCCTAGAAATAAAACAAATATTCAAAACATAAATAAGTCACTTAATTAGTATAATTATGGATATAAAACTATCATCTTTGATATAGTTAATATAAACAGGGCTTGTCAATGCCAGCACCTACATTTCATACAATTAAAAAAATTCATATTCAAAAAATTAAATAATGAGTGGCCGCTGCACCCGGCTTTTTTTTTTTCCTTTCCAAGACAGAGTCTTGCTCTGTTGGAGTGCAGTGGCGCCATCTTGGCTCACTGCAACCTCAGCCTCCCGGGTTCAAGCAATTCTCCTGCCTCAGCCTCCCAAATAGCTGGGATTACAGGTGCCTGCCACCACTCTTAGTAGAGACAGGGTTTCACCATGTTGGCCAGGCTAGTCTCAATCTCTTGACCTTGTGATCTGCCCACCTCGGCCTCCCAAAGTGCTGGGAATACAGGCGTGAGCCACCGTGCCCAGCTCAATTTTTTTTTTCTATCAGGCAGAGATGGGGTCTCAGCTACGTTGCCCAGGCTAGTCTCAAACTCCTGGACTCAAGTGATCCTCCCACTTCGGCCTCCAGAAGTGCTAGGATTACAAGCATGAGCCACCAAGCCCAACCAGCATTTCTCAATTATTATTTTTGTTTTTTGAGATGGAGTCTGCTCTGCCCAGGCTGGAGTGCAGTGGCGTGATCTCGGCTCACTGCAAGCTCCGCCTCCTGGGTTCACATCATTCTCCTGCCTCAGTCTCCCGAGTAGCTGGGACCACAGGCACCCGCTACCACACCCGGCTAATTTTTTGTATTTTTAGTAGAGACGGGGTTTCACCGTGTTAACCAAGATGGTCTCGATCTCCTGCCCTTGTGATCCACCCGCCTCGGCCTCCCAAAGTGCTGGGGTTTACAGGCGTGAGCCACTGCGCCTGGCCAACATTTCACAATTATTAATACACATGCAATTCTTCACTTATTAATTCAGAAACCAAGTCATAAAAGGTGGGAAAAGCAGTATAAATTTACAATTCACTTTTCCTTTTATATCCAAAAATATATAGTTCTTTCCCTATCTTGCCCAAATACCACCAACTCCACAAATATGTACTCACCATTAGCCTTCAGTGAAGACAGGAGGCAAGCCATCATGCTTTTGGCCACACTTGGGTCAGTTACTTTTTTGTGAATGTCCATCTTTATCAGAGAAGGGAAATTAGCAAGGAAAGTTTCTGGCAATACTTCCTGTTCTTCATGGAAACTCAACATTATTTTCTGGAAAAATTAGAATCTCTTGACTTTCACAATAGTTACGCATTAGAATCTAACTCAACTACAGAACTCAGCAACAAGAAAGCAATATTTAATAACTCTTCCAGTCACTATGTAAGTTATCTCACACAGGATTATCCTGTAATTCTAGCTGAAGCATTTTCACTTTCTTTTTTTGAGACAGGATCTTCTTGTTGCCCAGGCTGGAGAGAGGCAGGCATTCTCTCTCGTGTGCACAAGCGCGCACTCTCTCTTTCCCTATTTATATTGTCAGGGCTGGTCTCGAATTCCTGGGCTCAAGTGATCCTTCTAGCTCGGCCTCCTGAAGTGCTAGAATTACAGGTGTGTGCCACTGTGCCTGGCCACCGTTTTCATTTTTAAAAAGTTTGAGCCGGAGATCGAGCCCATGCTAGCTAACAGTGAAACCCCGTCTCTACTAAAAAAAAAAAAAAATACAAAACATAAGCCGGGCGTGTTGGCCGGTGCCTGTAGTCCCAGCTACTCGGGAGGCTGAGGCAGGAGAGGGCGTGAACCCGGGAGGCACAGCTTGCAATGAGCCGAGATTGCACCACTGCACTCCAGCCTGGGCTACAGAGTGAGACGACCTCTCAAAAAAAAAAAAAAAGAAAAAAAAAAGTCTGGGCCGGGACTGGTGGTTCATGCCTGTAATCCTAGCACTTTGGGAGGCTGAGGCAGGCGGATTGCCTGAGCTCAGGAGTTTGTGACCAGCCTGGGCAACAAAATAAAACCCTGTATCTACTAAAAACACAAAAAATTAGCCAGGCATGGCGGCGTGCGCTTGTAGTCCCAGCAACTCAGGAAGCTGAGGAAGGAGAACTGCTTGAACCCCAGAGACAGAGGTTGCAGTAGGCTGAGATCCCACCACTGCACTCCAGCCTGGGCAGGAAAAAGGGTTTGTCTGGCCAGGCGTGGTGGCTCACTCAAGCCTGTAATCCCAGAACTGTGGGAGGCCAAGGCAGGAGAATCACGTCAGGAGTTCGAGACCAGCCTGGCCAACATCGTGAAACCCCATCTCTAGTAAAAATACAAAAATTGGCTGGGCCTAGTGGTAATTCCAGGAGGGCCCTGGTCTTGAACTCCCGACCCTTCCAGGTGATCTTGCCCTTTCAGCTCCGAAGTGCTGGGATTATATGGCCCATGGAGCTGCTGCGCCGGCCTCATTCTTTATTCCATAGTTATTTCTATATTTTTCCTCGCCTTAGTCCCATGGCTTGGTAACAAAAGCTCGGTTTGGTGTTCCTCGCTTACTTGAGATTACGTTGACCACTGGTGCCTGGTGATTGAAATGCTGATGATTGGTGTTCCACATCTGACACTTTTCAGCATACGAAATTTTTAAAATTTGTGGTAAAATATAATAACATAAATAATTACACATTTTAACGTAAGGAATACGTTAACTTAAATTTTAGTTATTTTAATGATTAGATTTACAGAAAAGTTGCCGAGTTAAACCAGAGTTTCTATATACTCCTATCCGTTTTCTGTATTGTGAACCTAACCATCATGGGTACATATTAATAATCAGAACACCAACTGTTATCACCAGTTTTTCTGCTATGTTCCTCTGTCTAGTATCCAATCACCACATAGCATTAGACATCTTTTTTTTTTTTGAACCAGAGTCTCTTCACTGGGCTGGAGCCGCAACGGTGCGATCATCGGTCAACTGGCAACTCTGCCTCCCAGTACTGA